CCCCCATGTTAGGTGTTGTGCGGTATGCCAAATACCCCATCTCTCTATGTTTGTCGGGGGCTTTCTCTTCCCACTGCCCTCCGCCTCTGGGTGGGCCATCCTCTGCCTGAGACAATCCCAGTAGCTGTGCTGCTCTTTTTCTCAGGCACATTCAGGCAGCAAGCCGGCCGGCAGAAGTGTGTTTGAGGTTAACTGTGGGCGAGGCCTCAGGTCACATGAGTGAGAAGTTTTCCATCCTGTCAAGCACCGCTGCTGGGTGGTGGGTGTGGACAGGGAGAAGGACGGTGCTCCTGTACCACTCTTGCAAAGGTGGCACCTCTGATTTTCTCTGATGACCCGAAGTTTGAGGAGAAGCAGCATTCCTTTCCAACTGGAGGATGTTGTTTCAAAAGCTCCGTCACAGGCCCTCCCTGATGGCACAACGGGTTAAAGCACAGCACTATGAAGTTATCGCAGCCACTGTAGCATGGAATTCAACTCCTGGCCAGTGAGGTGACCCACATGGCATGGCAGACTTCCCCTGACCCACCTGCTGCTCCCCTCAGCAGTGTATTTCATACATCTGCCTGTTCTGCTCCCCACTTGGTCTCTGGTGAATCCTCTCACCCCCCCCCACACCTCTGGCCTGTACCCCAGTACTGTATGCATAGATAAATAAATCTTTAAAAAAGAAAAAAAGGAAAGCCTGTCATGGTTTAATTCCCCCTCTAACTCTGCCTGTGAAGGCAAGCTTCCAGGGTGTGAACTCTGCCTGACCAGATTTCTGCTATGCTTACCTTCCAGCAGAGAGAGCCCTCCTGGCTGCAGCCTGCTGCTACCAGCCTTTGGGGGGTTATGTCCTGTTGGGAAATCACGTGGACCCAAGTGAATCTCATGGTTTCCTCAGAACCACCCAGGACATTGACCTGGGCTGTGTCTGACCTTCCCTTCTGGGCATGTGTTGCCTAGAAGACACTTGGTGCTAGGGAAGGGGATGTGTCTCAGCTCACTTGCCTTTTCCTGTGCTGTGTGTCAGTGCGGTCCTAGCCCCAACCTGTGTGTGTGTGTGTGTGTGTGTGTGTGTGCGTGTGCGCGCGCACATGTGTCTACCAATGAACAGAAGTGTTGCTGTTGTCTGGAGCTGCTCCCTGGAGACTGAAGGTTCTCCCTTGGTCCTTTGAGGTGCTCTTTTCCATGTCGGGAAGGGGTGCAAGTGTGCAGGTGTTAGGTCAGCCGCCAGTATGGGACACATGTCACACCCACTTGCCCAGAGTCTTTGAAGATGCTCAAAAAGCAGGTGTCACTTTGGACATCTGGGCTTTTTTTGGTTCTTGCAGAGAGCCTTCTGGACATTCTCTAGTGTCTAGGCAATGAAGCACTGATGATACTCCAGTGTGAGTCCAGTGGTAGTACCCAGTGTTCTTCCCTGAAGCACTGATGGTGGAATATTTAGAAGACTTGAGTTTGTCCAGCCCCACTTGAGAATGATCTCCAGACTGACCTCTGGAGAGGCTTGGGTGCTCGGTTCATCTTCCCAGCTAGTTCCGGCTTGTCTTTTTAAATCAAGGATACAGGAACACTTTCTTTGAGATTAAAGCATCTGCCTGCTGCTAGAAAATGAAAACCCTCCATTTCCTTCATTCTCTGTCAGCTGCAGCCCTCTCCTGGCGTTGTCCTGGGAGCTCCTGACCCGTGTCTCCAGTCTGTTGCAGAACGAAAGGCAGGGCACAGAGTCAGTGCTGTGTCCACCAGCCTGGCCTTCCAGCCTGACTGCTGGGGCAGCTTTTCTTGGGCCCAGCAGTCAGACCAGAGCTGTGTTCCTGTTTCACATATTGACACTTGGAGGATCCTACTGCTTGAAAGAAAATGCCACTCATTTACATTCTTGTGGTTGAGTTTCTAAAATTATTCCTTTACCAGAAATATGTTGAAACATAGTGGAATCAAATGCTCTAGGTCTCCTCTCACAGACCTAGCATGGAGGAATCATCCATTTGTCCAAGGGGCCCAGACCACATGTGAACTTTCACTCACCTCACTAGTCCCGAACTAACCAGTCATGGCATCTGTTACTGTATATTAATAAATTAATTTAGTTTCTTCCACTCCTGGCTATAAATGAGTAATACAAGGGAACTATGCTCCTGCCATAGACCATTATGAACTGGGTAAAATACAGGAAACAGCTGTTTTCAGGTGTTGGGGTGATCAGCAGTGCAGAACTTCGACCCTGAGACAAGACCCTGCATACACCTGGCTCCTGTCTGGAGGCAGACGGGGCCACAGCACAGGGAAGGAGTCCAAGCAGGGCAGAGTGATCCTGCCTGGTTTCTGTGAGTGGAGGGTGTAGCACTGGAGCGGAGGGAGCTGCATGAAGCTAGGCCCCCTGCCCTGGAGGCCTTAGTGACCGCACTCGTTGCCGAAAATTGCAGTCTAACTGAGGAAACTGCCGTCTGTTGACCATGCTGGGAGCTCAGGAGGCTGACCGGTGTTCTCATTTCCCCAGCCAGACTTCAGCAGCATCTTTGGACATTTGTGACAATGATGGAGACCCTAGAAAGTATACCCCTGTGTATTTATGCTGTTCTGGACACTG